TGTGTGCACTCACCAGGGAGAGAGAGAGAGAGAGAGATAGAGAGAGAGATCACACCTCAGGGGAGATGGCCATACCTTAATCCCTCTCCTCCCTTTTCCTCTCAGGATTTTGGGCACACATGCACACATAGCCCATGTAATTTTCGAGCTGTTGGGTCCGGGACTCAAACCATGGTTGGCCTTATGGGAATCGAGCCCTGTAACTGCCACACCACCTGTTGGCCCAGTAAAGTTCCTTTTGTTTTTTTAGGTTTTTGCTTTATAGCACATGTGCTAGCATGAAAGAAAGAGACAGAGAGATACACAGAGACAGTGAGAGGGAGAATGAGAAAACACCCCCTAGTGGGATGATCATGCCACAACCCCTTCTCCTCTATTCTCCTTCCAGGATATTGGACATGCACACACACATGCCCAGCATGAGTTTCAAGCCACCAGGTCCAGGAGGAGCTGCTGTTGGCTATGTGGGGAGTCTACCAACGTAACTGCTATGCCTCCTGCTGGCCCCAGCAAGTTCCATTTTTATTATTTTTTTTTTAGTAGAAGGCTGGTGGACAGGCCGGGGTGCCTCTACTTCTCATATCTCTTGGTTTTGCTGAGAACAGCGAGCTCTCCAGGTCATATGTGATGATGTAAGATGTTGGTGCAAGTACTCAGGCCTGCCATCAGGACTGTGTACTATCATTTCCTTTTATAAAGTAAGTCATATGGCCAAGCCATAGAATCAAGAGGCAGTGAGGGACACTCTTCCATAAGGAGCATGGATGGCAGTAGTGTGGATAACAAAGAGTGAGAATTAAGGCCAACAAATTGATCTGCCAAACCAGATCAGATAATAAAAAATGTGGGGGGATACTAAGGTAGAGATTGCATTGATCTGAGCTGTGTGGATTCAGTAGTAGGTATAAAATAGGGATTAGGATCTCTAAGTATAAGAAATAAGAGTATCTATGAGAAGAGTGCTAAATTTTTTTTGAAGACAAAAAGGATCAAAGGAGTTATAGCTGAGAGATGGCAGAGGGTATTTGGGCCATCGAATCAAATTTGGAGAACAGCACTGAAAGTAGGGTGAAGGAAAGGACAATAAGAATATTAAAAATGTCTAAGTGGGAGATTTCTGTTACTCGAGGCTTATCTTAGTTACTTATTTTAGTATCTGCATTCTGTAGACAGATGCTAGAGGAGTTCTCTGAGCACCATTGGCTTGTGTTTAATCTTCAGCCTTCCTTGGGTTTGGCCTATTGTTTAATAACTAAAATAACTTTAATATCTAGTTATTTAAAAATAGGTAAATAATTGTTATCCACTAAAGTTATATATTTCCAGATTATGCACTAGTCTGAAATACAAAGTCTAAGAGAATAAAGTACTTCTGCACTGAGCACAGGTTTGGTCAATACGTTGTAGATACTTCATAGGAATTCGGTGTCCAAATCATACATAATTATAGTATTTGGGGTATAGAAGTCATATTCACCAACTTAAAAAAAAAAAACTGTCTCAATTAATTTAATGGTTTTCATTCAAACTGGTACTTTAATCAAAGTGATGATCCATATACCATTAAATAAGAAATATTTCTGAGTAAATTCACTATTTATAGGTAATGAATTTTCTGCATAATGCACTACCTATTAGCTACTTAAGTACATTAATTCATAACTTCTTCCTCTTATCAATGTGAATTTAAGTAAGGAACCTCTTCTGTTTTTTGAGTTCTGGGCCCAGTAGGACCACATCATTTGCCAGCTTTAACTGTACTATTTGAAAATATACTCCATTTCTAAGAAAACAGCTACTGTCTTTGAGTCAAAGTGTATGCACAGCGCCACAGCAATTAGAATGGAGATAAGTGGCCTCATTAGTAGAGCACGCCTCCCCTCAAGGGAACTAAGCCTAGGGCTTATATTTTTGACATGTTTTGAGAGAAATCTCTTAAGCCTACTGGATATTCTTTGTTTTGTCTCTACTATGATTTAAAAAAATTTTTTTTGAAAAATCTATTTGATATGCTTCTACATGTTTAAGCATGTGATTTGCTGGTCTGAGATTAGCAGATCATTTCTTTTTCTTTTATCAGAAGCTTATATTGAGCTATGCTAATGCCTTTTGTGAAAGAAAGCTTATTGAATGTGTACATTTGCCATATGATCTGACTGAGAAAACTGGTCTTGGAACTGCCATTTTGTCAGTCTAACACTGTGCTTTATGACATTTTCTGTGGCTGACTTTCACTGCCTTTCTGTACAGGCTAGGAAGCGATGATACCCATTTCGAGGTCAGCATGGCCAACAATGGGTGTGAAGTGCATCGTTTTGATCCTAGTGTCAAATTGGCGCACGTTCAGGAGAGTCAGCGCCTTTGGTATCACCGCTTGTCTGTCGACTGGAGGGATCCCCATCCTGCCGTCGTGGCCCAAAATCCACACAGTAACACCAGAAAACTGGGGAGCATTTTGAATGAATTTGGCCATCACAAGGTGAGAGTTTTTTCATTTGCTTTCATAATTAAATAAAGTGAACAAACCCATAGGCTTTTTATTTAAAGAATTATTTAATTTTATTTATCATTATTATTATTATTTAACTTGCTACAAGGCATGCATGTTCACGAGAGAGAGAGAGAGAGAGAACGTGAGCAAGTAAGCTGAGAGGTCCAGGACTCGTACTTACGGGAGGCCATTTGGGAGTCTAGTGCCTTAACCACCACACCACCTGCTGGCTCTATGCTTTTTTTCTTTTTTAGCAACACAAACCAAGGGTAACAACAATGACGTTGAGTAGTTTAAGATCCAGTTTTAGTCTCTTTAATCACCTAATGTTATTTATAGAGCAATGCTGTAGACCATACATTTCAGGCAAGGAAGAGTATTGATTTGAAGATTTTAGTCACTGTTGAGTAAGGCTAAGGTCTTGGCCAAGACTGGGCAAAAAGACAAAGAAACCTACTCCTGGCATAGGCTGATAAGGGCCTGTATTATGGTTCTCATGTTTTCCACTACTTCAAGCCGCTGGGTTCTTCAAGCTCAGAAAATATGTGCAGTTTTGATTGTAAAATGTTTTAAAGAATTATTTTATTTGATTTTGTTTATTATTATTATTGTTATTACTTCAAATTTGACCAGAGAGAGAGAGAGGAAAAGTGAGAAAGTAAGCCCCAGGTCCAGGACTCAAACTATGGTGCCATGTGGAAGTCCAGCACCTTAACCACCACACCACCTGCCAGTCCTGCTTTGATTAAAATTTACTTTATAAAATTGAATAGATATTAGATATGTTGCAACTTATATGATTATGTCAAAGGATGACAAACTTCTGCAGATATTTTATTGTGAATGGACAAGAAAGAAGAAACTCAATCACAGAACATCTTCCTTAAAAGCAATTTTAATGTGGTTGGTATACCTGAGCTAGTTGCTTTGTGTAGGCAAACACTAGAAAAGTTCTCAGAGCATCGTTGGCTTGTGTTTGATCTTCAGCCTTGCTTGGGTTTGGCCTATCGTTACAGCCTAGATACTGTGGATTTTAAAACATGTCAGAAGTGAGTCTCTCACTGAAAAACAGGGGGCCTGGGACTCAGTTTTAAACCTAATTTGGCTTCTTTATCTTTAATAGAAGGTCTTTTTACCTGCATTGTTGGTTCTCCTCCTCCTCTTTTCACTTCAGCTTTATTTAATTAGACAGCCAATGCTTCTTCAAGAACAACTTCAAAGAATTTGCTATTCTTTTAACATGTGATTAACTATTGATTTGTATTTTGCTTTGCTGAAGTAACTAGCGTTTACTAGTCAAGAGTCTTAGTGGAACACATGTAGGATTTTTTTGAGTAAAATCTCTGGACAGATCCCTTTTATACATGCTATTAATTTTTCAAATATGTGTAGGAAGAAGCAGGAGCATTTTTCAGAACTTTTATTTTATTTTTGTGCTATTTGCTACTTTGGTAGTCCTGTTTTTCACAGCTAAAAATTACAGGCCTGTTTCTTTAATATGTCAACTCTAGATTATTCAAAGAGCCAACTACTTACTCTGTGTGTTCAGTTAGAAGTCTTGCTACTCCTCCTTAAGGTCCTTCCCACCCTTCAAAAGAAAGACTGAGTAGGAAAAAGAGGTGAAAGATCAATGCCATTTTGCTTTTCTCAATATTTTAACAAATGATTTGGTTACCATGAGGATAAAATCAGGCTTTGAAAAAGTGATCTGTGGATATAATCGATCTCACAACATTGCCTATGGAGAAAGCATACAAGGTTCATACCTGGACTGTGTTTGTTCAGCTCTGAGGAAGCTGCAGAAAGCAAATCTTTATGCTGAGGCTAAAGCATGAACCCAAGCCTTTTGCAACATGGCTCCTAAGACAGTAGAATTATTTGCGATGGTACCTAAGGAGAAATGTTTTAAAGAATTACTTACATTCCTAAAGCCACTTATTTAATTATAATCATTAGCAATGTCAGTGATCTGGCACAGAATTTCTATTGTAGGTTAAGTATTTGTTGTTTTAGGAAAATCCCTTGTGCAAGAATTTAAAAGATAACTGATTTTTTTTCTTAGGGATTATTTTTTTGGAGAATGCTTTAAACAAAAACAATAACTAAACCATCAGTGAGTGAGTGTTTCCATTAGGGTCATGTTTGTAGGAGCTATGGCATGCCAGATAAAAGGAAACCAGAGAAATCTCTTAAGCCTACTGGATATTCTTTGTTTTGTCTCTACTATGATTTAAAAAAATTTTTTTTGAAAAATCTATTTGATATGCTTCTACATGTTTAAGCATGTGATTTGCTGGTCTGAGATTAGCAGATCATTTCTTTTTCTTTTATCAGAAGCTTATATTGAGCTATGCTAATGCCTTTTGTGAAAGAAAGCTTATTGAATGTGTACATTTGCCATATGATCTGACTGAGAAAACTGGTCTTGGAACTGCCATTTTGTCAGTCTAACACTGTGCTTTATGACATTTTCTGTGGCTGACTTTCACTGCCTTTCTGTACAGGCTAGGAAGCGATGATACCCATTTCGAGGTCAGCATGGCCAACAATGGGTGTGAAGTGCATCGTTTTGATCCTAGTGTCAAATTGGCGCACGTTCAGGAGAGTCAGCGCCTTTGGTATCACCGCTTGTCTGTCGACTGGAGGGATCCCCATCCTGCCGTCGTGGCCCAAAATCCACACAGTAACACCAGAAAACTGGGGAGCATTTTGAATGAATTTGGCCATCACAAGGTGAGAGTTTTTTCATTTGCTTTCATAATTAAATAAAGTGAACAAACCCATAGGCTTTTTATTTAAAGAATTATTTAATTTTATTTATCATTATTATTATTATTTAACTTGCTACAAGGCATGCATGTTCACGAGAGAGAGAGAGAGAGAGAACGTGAGCAAGTAAGCTGAGAGGTCCAGGACTCGTACTTACGGGAGGCCATTTGGGAGTCTAGTGCCTTAACCACCACACCACCTGCTGGCTCTATGCTTTTTTTCTTTTTTAGCAACACAAACCAAGGGTAACAACAATGACGTTGAGTAGTTTAAGATCCAGTTTTAGTCTCTTTAATCACCTAATGTTATTTATAGAGCAATGCTGTAGACCATACATTTCAGGCAAGGAAGAGTATTGATTTGAAGATTTTAGTCACTGTTGAGTAAGGCTAAGGTCTTGGCCAAGACTGGGCAAAAAGACAAAGAAACCTACTCCTGGCATAGGCTGAAGAACACCATTTGTGTTTGGCAATTGATTTAACATTTCCAGAAAGGGCAAACTACTTTTTATTAAACTCAGGTACAAAAAAAATAATCAAAACCAGGTTTTCATTTGGTAAGAGACTGTATTATGTTTCTCATGTTTTCCACTACTTCAAGCCTCTGGGTTCTTCAAGCTCAGAAAATATGTGCAGTTTTGATTGTAAAATGTTTTAAAGAATTATTTTATTTGATTTTGTTTATTATTATTATTGTTATTACTTCAAATTTGACCAGAGAGAGAGAGAGGAAAAGTGAGAAAGTAAGCCCCAGGTCCAGGACTCAAACTATGGTGCCATGTGGAAGTCCAGCACCTTAACCACCACACCACCTGCCAGTCCTGCTTTGATTAAAATTTACTTTATAAAATTGAATAGATATTAGATATGTTGCAACTTATATGATTATGTCAAAGGATGACAAACTTCTGCAGATATTTTATTGTGAATGGACAAGAAAGAAGAAACTCAATCACAGAACATCTTCCTTAAAAGCAATTTTAATGTGGTTGGTATACCTGAGCTAGTTGCTTTGTGTAGGCAAACACTAGAAAAGTTCTCAGAGCATCGTTGGCTTGTGTTTGATCTTCAGCCTTGCTTGGGTTTGGCCTATCGTTACAGCCTAGATACTGTGGATTTTAAAACATGTCAGAAGTGAGTCTCTCACTGAAAAACAGGGGGCCTGGGACTCAGTTTTAAACCTAATTTGGCTTCTTTATCTTTAATAGAAGGTCTTTTTACCTGCATTGTTGGTTCTCCTCCTCCTCTTTTCACTTCAGCTTTATTTAATTAGACAGCCAATGCTTCTTCAAGAACAACTTCAAAGAATTTGCTATTCTTTTAACATGTGATTAACTATTGATTTGTATTTTGCTTTGCTGAAGTAACTAGCGTTTACTAGTCAAGAGTCTTAGTGGAACACATGTAGGATTTTTTTGAGTAAAATCTCTGGACAGATCCCTTTTATACATGCTATTAATTTTTCAAATATGTGTAGGAAGAAGCAGGAGCATTTTTCAGAACTTTTATTTTATTTTTGTGCTATTTGCTACTTTGGTAGTCCTGTTTTTCACAGCTAAAAATTACAGGCCTGTTTCTTTAATATGTCAACTCTAGATTATTCAAAGAGCCAACTACTTACTCTGTGTGTTCAGTTAGAAGTCTTGCTACTCCTCCTTAAGGTCCTTCCCACCCTTCAAAAGAAAGACTGAGTAGGAAAAAGAGGTGAAAGATCAATGCCATTTTGCTTTTCTCAATATTTTAACAAATGATTTGGTTACCATGAGGATAAAATCAGGCTTTGAAAAAGTGATCTGTGGATATAATCGATCTCACAACATTGCCTATGGAGAAAGCATACAAGGTTCATACCTGGACTGTGTTTGTTCAGCTCTGAGGAAGCTGCAGAAAGCAAATCTTTATGCTGAGGCTAAAGCATGAACCCAAGCCTTTTGCAACATGGCTCCTAAGACAGTAGAATTATTTGCGATGGTACCTAAGGAGAAATGTTTTAAAGAATTACTTACATTCCTAAAGCCACTTATTTAATTATAATCATTAGCAATGTCAGTGATCTGGCACAGAATTTCTATTGTAGGTTAAGTATTTGTTGTTTTAGGAAAATCCCTTGTGCAAGAATTTAAAAGATAACTGATTTTTTTTCTTAGGGATTATTTTTTTGGAGAATGCTTTAAACAAAAACAATAACTAAACCATCAGTGAGTGAGTGTTTCCATTAGGGTCATGTTTGTAGGAGCTATGGCATGCCAGATAAAAGGAAACCTTGTTTGTGGCCTGTAGCAAGCACGATCTGTTTTCATTATCCTGCATGTGTACAGACCCTGGTAAATAGGATGTGGCCCTGGTGGGGGAAGCAAACAGAAAACAAAACAAAACAAAACAAAACACACACTATAAAATGTGTATTTTAGTCCTTTTGCCTTGCCTCCTTCACTCATTTATTCTGAAAGTGACTAGAGAAACCCGAGTGTTTTCCGTTGTTTTGTTTATACTTCGGGACTTTAAAATAGCTCATAGAATTTTGTAATAAATAATTCCCAGGCGAGGCTGCTATTTTTCTTCTTTTCTTTATCCAGAGCTAGATTCCAGCCTCTCAAGCAAAAATGTGGGCAAAAATGAAAGGCAATGTTCTGAGATAGTGACAGAAAGATGCATATGGCTTTTGTACTGCTTTTAAACTCTTTGGTAATTTTAACTTCAAACTATAAATCAAAAACCCTTCTACAGCATCAGCGGGAGCAGCTGCATCAGCAAAATCACGTGGACCAGAAGCCCAGTGTGTCAGAGAATAAGATCACCTGGGCCAGCATTATTTAAAATGATTAACTGTCTACTCCTTGCTGAAGTGGTTGTTGCTGTTAACTAAGCATACACATTTTTCCAGAAAGTGCCCAGAAATATTGAATCGGAAGTTCCCGCTCATATTAATCTTCATGTTATGCTCCCCGCCCCCTGCCCCAAGTCTTTATTACACAACCAGAATATTCTAAATGCCCCAGGCTGGTTAATGAGAAAGCATAACTTTATTGTTACTTTATCTTAATGTTGCAGCAGATAACGTGAATACTCAGTCCCTGAGAGTCTACCTTCGTAAACTCATCAATCTAGATTTGAAGCAGGGGAAGCTTGGGGCATTGAGCGTGTCACTGAACTTCTCTGGTGCTCAGTTTGATTGTCAATAAAACGAGGACAACAATACCAACTAAATTGTGGGTTGTTTCGAAAATTAGATCTGAGAACACAGTATGAAAGTGTGTAGCAGAATGGATGGTGCGAATTAGTCACTCGATTATTTTCAATACATTCAAAGGATTTTTATTAACAATCTGGGCACATTTTTACTACATTTATAGAAAATGTCCCTTTCTTCCTTAGTTTCAGAGAAAATAGAAAGGTCTCTGAAAATTGCTAACTGCACCTAATTCCAGTTAAGGATTTTTAGCGGAAGCTTTGTGTGAAACTGAAGGGCAGTTGGTCCTTCACACGTGGCTGTGGAGAGCTGTATGTGAGGCCTGAAGGCTCTGAAGAGCCTTGCCGGTGACTGTATGGAAAGTAAACACTGTGCTGTGCAGAAATTAAACAAGCTGCTCAGAGTTAACAGGGCTCCATTTCACATAGAGCCGATGTGGGTGAGGTAGCTGCGGCCTGCTGACTGGTCAGGCAACCTGGGGGGAGCTGGATGTCCTGGATTTCCCAGGCAACCTGGGAGTGTGGCTGGCAGGTCCTCCCCTGGTCTATCCTTGTCACCATCGGACCGGGGTTCAGTGTCTGCTCAGTCTCCTTAGAGGACTACCGATTTTTACCTCCCTGGCCTGGGAGCTTGCTGTAGATTCCAAAACATCCGTTTTCTTAGTGTGGTCTCTACTGTGTTTAAGAGAATGTGGGCTTTGAAATTAAGCTACAAAAAGATTCTTTTTGTTTATCAAATTGGCAAATACAAACAAAATATTGATCCCACACTGTAATAGCATCCTGTTGGGTATAACACTCAAATTTTACTGCTGGGAATGGAAAATAACGTCTTCTTTCATGAGGAAAATTCGGCCATGGGCCAGCAGGTGCGTGGTGGTGAAGGTGCGGGACTCCTACACGGCTGACTTGTCCATTGAGTCCTGACGCAGTGGCTAGAAACACACACAGTGTTTCTCCTAAACCTGACAAGGATCACAGCAAGTCAGCTATGCATTGAACACAAGCTCCCACATTGTTATCTTAAATTTTACTTTATTTTTAAATTCTATTTTGAAAAAAACGTTACCACAAAAGTTGCTAGATTAACACAATGAGCTCTCATATATTTTATCAAGATTTACCAATTATTAATACTTTGCCACATTTGCATTATCTTTCTGTGTATAGACACACACACAATTATCTTTGCAAATTAAAAATATCAATGTAAAAGAATGAATATTTCCATAATACATATAGCTGTATATGTGAGTTTAATCCATTTTTATCTATTGTTATCACTGATACATTTGGACTCATCGCTTCCTTTGTTGGTATACCTTAATCCAAGAGCTAGCTGGACTCATGTTTAATATCAAAATACTGAAAATATCCTTATTAAAGTTAGGGGAAAACATAGATGCTTTTTCATCTTTTTGTTTGTGTTTTGTTTTTCTAGAGAAATTTGTTTGTTTGTTTGTTTTTGTTATAGAGTGCATGAGTTCCTGGAGAGACAGAGAGACAGACAGAGAGAAAGTGAAAAATCACCCCCTGGGGGGAATGGCCACACTGAATCCCTTCTCCTCCATTCTCCTCTTGGAATTTTGAGCAGGCATGTGCATGCATGCACATGTGCCAGTGTGTTTCAGGCCATTGGGTCCAGGACTTGAACTGTGGTTCAACCACTATGCCACCTGCTGGCCCCTCATCATTGTTTGTTAAAAAAAAAAAAAAAAAATTAGTGCTCTTTTTTTTAAAAAAATAACTTTTCCTTTTCAGATAATCATAACCTTA